CCCCCCCCCTGACTCAAAAGCTGGATCCGCCCCTGATTCAACACGTAACGATGTGTAGACTATTCTGCGTTTTGGACTGGGAAGAATAGAAGCACCAGCAATTTTAAATACAAATGAGAATTGTTGCACACTGCATATAGAGTATTTGTGATTGAAGTGGAATAAACAGTATAGTTTGATATTCACGGAACACGCAAACTGCAAACTACACGATGTTTTATAATTTTGTTCAGTCAAAACTAGTGTATTAAATATTGCATTTACTAAAGAACTTAGTACGTATGTGTTACCTCAGCCCAAATTACTAAAGGAAGTTTCAATAGGTGACAACGATCTAGCCAATTATTGTAACGAATATTTTGGTAACATAGGTATTAAAATGCTTAATAAAATAAATAAACCAATAAATAGATTCAAACTCCAATACAGTTCTACGTCATCTATGTTTTTGACTCCGGTAGGCGATAATGAAATTATACACCACATCAGCTCCCTCAAGAACAATTGTGCTGCAGGCTCTGATCAAATCAGATCGATGTTAGTGAAGAAATTTCCTTTGTACCTTATTGAACCACTAAAACACGATAGCCATAGTTACTCCAGTTTATAAATCTGGGGATCCGTATCTTATTAATTACTACCGCCCCATCAGCGTAATTAACAATTTCTCAAAAATTTTTGGAAAATGCCTTAAACATAGACTTCAGAACTTTCTCAATTCAAATAAATTACTGTCTGATAATCAATTCGGCTTTCACGAGAACCAGAGTACAACTGACGCTATATTAGAATTTACTAGAGAGGTCACAAACTGTTTGGATAGCAGAACCAACTGTTTGGCTGCTTTCTTAGACCTTGCTAAAGCATTCGATACGGTATCTCATTCTACACTTTTCAATGTTCTAAATTGCTACGGGGTGAGTGGGGTTGCATTGAGTATATTTTCGAGCTACCTGACAGAAAGCAAATGGTTAAGGTTGGTGAAAGTCAGAGTGATCAAATTAAAATACAGATTGGCATCCCACAGGCTTCAGTTCTTGGCCCTTTACTATTTATTCATCACCTATATAAACTCTCTAACAGAACTAAAAATAAAAAACGGTACCATTATATCTATGCTGATGATGCAGCTATCCTCTTTAATGGATCGCTGTGGTTGGATGTTAGAACACTAGCAGAAGAGGGACTTAAAAAGAATATATGTTGGCTACAAACTTTCATGCTGACACTGAAACATTGATAAAACAAATTTTATTTGTTTTATGAATATTTAGTGAGACATATTTTAAGAAAAGTCTTAGAATTTTTTTATAAAAATCCTACTAATGGTTTACAGAACATTGGTGGACTCCCTGATGAGATATGGAATTATTCTCTGGGGTGGCGCCTGTATGATAATTCTCTTAAACAATTGAAAGTAGTCCAGAATTGTATCCTTAAAGTTATATTCGGAAAGACTAAACGGTATTCTACAGCCCTTTTGTATTCTGAGGATGTTCCAAATGTTAAAACTTTGTACATCTACTCTGTATGCCTATATGTCTATACAAAGCCATCCTCTATTGAAACAGTTAATCACCCCTATAACACCAGGTGCACCGTCAATAAGCACCTTATTATTCCAAATAATAACTCCAATATTAACTTTTTTAAGATTTTAAGATTTTCTAATTACCTAGCTCCAAAGTTCTATAATGTGTTACCTATTAATGTTAGAATGATTTCTAAAAAATAATTTTAAGCAAAGATGTTTAAATTTTATATTTCAGAATTTAAATGGTTTTCTGGTACATTTGTAATTATGTGTATTGATTCTTTGATGTGGATGTTGCTGATTTTGGTTATCCATACTTCAGCTTTAGAATTAAGTACCTACTTATATGATGATATTAGGTGCACATACAGATATTTATGTCTAGGTGCAGCAAAAACGTAGGTACTATTTAAGTTGATTATTGTACAGAATATGTAATGTACATCTATTCCTGTAATTAATCTAATAGTTTATTCATTTGTGCTTAACTGATTTACAGTGGAAGCGTAGATTGATGAAGAAATTTGAAGAAACGGTGCATATCGGTTTACATCTTGTGCATAGGCGGATGGGTTCCGGCGTATTACCCGAAAATTCCCGGTGGGCCTCCTGAAATAAATATTAAAAGCTTTGCCGGCCTCGACTTGGGCGAAGATTTCCGATTTGTGAATAGCCATATTTTATATAGCTGACACTAATTTAAAAGACCGATAAAAGCATCTGGTAACGACGCCTAATAAAATTGGCGTAGTAAAGCTTGCGACAACCGCATGAGGCCTGCTAACAAATACTTAGAAAGCATCAAATGGTTTCTTCTGGTTCTGACCTAGGTGCTTTTATTTTACAGAACTATCTTTTTGTGCCTGTCTGTCCTCAAAATAAATTGCATTGTATTGAATTGAAATCCATTGGGTCGGAAATATTTAATTTATTTTGTACTTTTAACGTTTGTTAATAATTGTAATATTTTATGTTGTAGGGATGCCTGATCCGTAACTGTATAACAAACTTTGTTGGACCGAAAAAGGGATACGAACTAATAATCCGTAAAAAATCTATGTAAAAAAATTGTTAATAGTGTTAATATGTAGGACGTCCATAACCGAATTTCAGAATTCGTCCGCATACTATTAACAAACAAAGCCTTCCAATATAAACACGTATGGAATGTGTTAAACCAGACATTAGTCATCTAATTTAAGAGAATTGGTATGTAAATAAATTGAGAATTGCGATTGCGTTTTAAAGTCATACTCAAACTGACTATAACATCTTTGCATTTATTTAATTATTTTATAATAAATTATTCGATGTCGTAATTGCTAAGTAATATGTTTCCTTGTTCACCTGGAACTTTGGACACAGCTTGGTAGTGGTTTGTGTGAACTATAAATGATTAACCATTAAAACAACCAGCTTGCCGCAAATCGACAGCATGTTTCAAAAACTTCAAAGTTTTAATGTCTCTAATAGCGTTTGCGCCTCTGATAGATGGCATCTATCCATCTCCAACAATTCCTAGTGTAATTTAAATTGTAACTGTTATTTGAACTTGCTAGTACAGCTAATGACGGCATTCGAATGAAGCTCCGCAAATAATGCTCTAACACACAAGTATCTTTTTAGCAGATGACCGTGTTAGATTGCCCCCCCCCCCATGAATGAATTTATCTCATCTCTTATCATTCGTTTAGATAATTTTTTTAAATAATTATTAACAGATTGAATAGTATCGGCATCCGTAAGAACGTCACCATCAAGAATCAGAACCCGCAACCGTAGTAAAATTTTTCACAATGATTTGTTAACTAGGATGATTTGACAAATAATCATCGTAGATTAGAATATAATAAATTGTTGCTTATAAGACAATTAACTTCTACTTGAAGCCTTCTTTTTTATTTTATTATTTAATGACATGCCTGTTTCTAAATCATAATTTGCGAGTTTAACTACCGATGGGAGTGACAGAGGAGATTTGTCAGACTTGTTTATCTATTCGCGAGTTCAAAAGTCCAGACGCCCCCTAGTGGTTAAAGTTATAACTACAAGTTAAGTAGTAAGTTGACACTTGTTTTGTTGACATTGGTGTCACATTTGTGTTTACATCTGAATGTAATTTGTTTTGTTCTAATCAACTTTTGCAAGCCTTTAAAGAAATAGAAAAGAAATAGAAACAGATCGAAAAGTGTATAAGTGTTGTTTTATGTAATAACTAAATGTCATCAATTCCAATAAATAAATAAAGTCTCAACTGTCACTTGACAACGAGTAATTTGACACCATCGGTGGTTGAACTAGCGAATAGGAGTTGGTAAACAAGCGAAAAGTGAGAGTTGCAACTGTAACAAAAATTAATGTAAGTAGTACGTGCGATACATAATTCAAACTGTTCTGTGAAAGATGGTCACTCGCGAAAGGATACAGACAGAATCATTCATTTATTTTCATTATTTTCCATTATATTTTTATTTTCATTATTTTCCAAAAGGAAATAGTGGCCAAGTTGCCTGCACAAACGGAAAAGGAGTTAAAAAGAACGTGTATCGGCGAAAACCATGGAGAAGGGCTTTGTTAATGGACAAGCTAGTTGCAGATCCTGAGTACCTACTGGGTCAGAAAAAATCACTGGACACTAAAGCCTTAATAACTTACGAACCCTTGACAAAATTCGAATCAAACAAAAACCGTTTTAAATATTATTTTATTACGAGTGATTTGAAAAAATATAAAGCTGAAATAATTTTGGCATACATTTTTTATTTGTTTTTGGAATCGTTTCCATCATCGACTTTATGGTAGCTTTGTTGATTTTTCTGGCGGCAGAATTCCACTTGAAAAGTGGCTTTTTCAAAAGCCTAATATCGGTCGATTGGGCGAAGCTCTGGGCACCAAAACGACTTTATTCGTTTGGCACCAGTTCTTCTACAGATCTCTTACTGTAGTAACAGGAAGCCAAGTCTGAGCAAAAGAAAGTTAAGACTTTATATGGTTTCATGAATTGGAACAATCTTTTTTGGAGATATTCTCTTACGTAAATTTGGGTATTTATTGTCCCATTTGATACAAATGATTTGTAGCGCTTCCCACAGCTATACAAGGCTTGCCACACGAGAAACTTTGACTTTGTCTTAGTCCTGAACTCTTCATTGACACCTCCGCGCTCACGTCCTGTGTAAAATTCTTGACCTGCACGCGGAGAGAAATCACAAAGAAAACACGTACTTTTCATCTTTTTTTTCAGAAAAACCAGTGTTTAATTTTTGAGCCCGTTTTTTCGCTTCCAGGTTCTTACTTGGATTTCTGTCTGGTGCCGTCTTGAAGCCCATCTTGGATTTTATTCGACGTACGGTGTTCTCACTGCAACCTACTTTATTGCCCATTTTCCGATTGAATAACCTAGGATTCTTCTGCAATTTCTCGACAACTTTCTTCACTGTTTGTGGGCGTGAAAATCCACTTGTCGTACCCGAACTCACTTTTCGGTTAACATTTATTGTTTGCTTGAACAGCTTAAGCACGTTTGATACGGTCGTTCTATGAACTTTCCCTATGTGGTTTTTTCTCGCTGGGTTTACAATGGATTTTCATGAAAATTTCTAATTATTAATTCACGCACTTCTAATTCAGATGTCATTTCTCTGGTAAAACATATAATAAAATAATAAAGTTCGATGTTTAATATGTCAATATCATTTAGCCTCCTAAGATTGGAATTTTGATTTTTTGAATTTGTGAAGAACTAGAACGGTTTTTGTGTGTAGCAGCTCAGTCCTTATGCGGGTGTTCTCATTGGATTGCAATACGGAAGATTACAAAGCAGGTACGCCTCCAAGTGTTCAGTAATGCCGAGTTGAAATTAGACATCGTCGACCAGTTTGAATCGTCCGAAACCATATTTTTTTATAAATCTAAGATAACCTTATTTATATTTTATAACCTTTATTTATAAATCTAAGATAAAACAATACTTACACACTTTTCGATCTGTTTCTATTTCTATAAAAGCTTGTAAAAGTTGATTAGACACCAATGTCAACAAAACAAGTGTCCAATTACTATTACCGGGCCGTTTGGACTTTTGAACTCGGGAATAGTAGATTATATACTTAGGTCGAGAAGTGAGCTATTATATACCGAGCAGTTTTATTTTTGAATCCAAAACCACAAACTAAAAAGAATTAAAATCGTAAACATATTTCATTAATTACCTAGGGACTTTATTATTATTATTAACCTAGGGAAAGTATATAATTTCTCACTAGGGAAATGGAGTAAATAAATAACGGTGACTTGTCAGGCCGGTAGTAAAAAATAGTACATTACAATACAAGAGACGAAAGTCGAAGTTGCGCCACTGGTTGAAGCTATCCACTCAAAGTGGCGCGCCTTTGACTCGCGTACCGTATACTATTTTTCTTGATCCTCGGAGGAAACTAGCCGTGAAAAGTACAAGGTTTTGAAGATGTTGTCAAAACAGTCAGCTGGAAGTCAGTGACAAACAGTGAAGCTGTCAGGATGCGTGGCGTACGCTATTACTTTCCACACGGGATGAACAAGAATTAATTGAATAATGGGCGGAAAGGTAAGTTGTCATGTCAATGTAATGAGTACAAGTGATTCTTTTGCTATCGGGAACAGTGGCAAAACTGTGTACTTTCCACCAGGGATCAAGAAAAATATAAATCTAGTCTCAAATGACACTATTCTTCTTTATACAGGGTGATGTACCTAGGTACCTAGTTACCTAAACAATAAAAAACTAAACTAAACAGGACCAAAAAGTTAGTAGGTGCCACTTAGAAAAACATTTTTCACATGTTTTGATGTCAATGTTTGAAGGCTTCATGCACCCATAAGCTACAATTGGGTGCTACAAATGCCAATCCAACGATGCTAGAGAAATTAGGGGTTTGCATTTAAAATAAGAAAGTTAGGTTATAGCTTTTAAAGGACTAAAGGTATTTTACGTGGTTCCGGCACGACTTGTTATGACCCCAAACAAAATGTGAAGTTTCTAAAACAAGTGCAAGTTGATCAACGAATGCACGGTCTACGTAAATCACCCTGTATATGGAGGCATAATATTCCGAAACCATAGGTGATACATCTACAAAATATAGGTGTACGTTGGTGTGAACACTGCAAAGGCTTGATTTCGTCCCCGGATTGTTATTATTGTTTAATTTATCATACGATATATCATTGATAAATTACTTCGATCATATACTTCGATCATATATCGAACATTTAATAATGTATAAATTGGTAAAACAGACGGGCATTATCATTAATAACTAATAAATGTATCGAGAAAATGATACCGATCAAGTATCATCGATCAATCATCCAGAACAGTATAACATTAGGGCATTTAAGCGATTGAGGTCAAGTTGAATTCAATTAGGTAAGGTAGTTTTCAATATATATCGCTACTCATTTAAATAGGTCACGTTAACACACTTACCTTCCTAATATGCTAAGAAGACAATTAGATAAGAATTATTTTATCAAACATAAATCTCCGTCACACAAGTCGTATGTTTTATGCAAATTCATATTTTATATATACATAAATATTAAACATTTGGAGACCAGAAATATATTGTTTCGCTTTGCCTAACTATATAACTTGTGTCCACTGGGAACATCTTCTTACCCCCGTATCGATATGTCTTCAACGGATAAAGACGCTCTAGTACTACCGCCTTTGATTCACCGAGGGAGAGTGCACCAACTTGATAATCAAGGTATTTCATAATATGTGAGTCTTACAGGATAATACTCATGCTGTTTCATTTATAGTGACTTTAAAGTGGCTTTCCAAAACAACGTGTTCCACAAGGAACGGACATTATTTTCACGTATTGAAGGTCCGAAAATAACTCTAGTTTGCTATATAAGCGATAGCGATTTAAAAGGGTGTTGAACTTAAAAAATGCAAAATGATGAATTTCTTCAAAACGCATGGAGATATTTTACTCCAATACAAACGGTGGTTCCCATTTAAATGTGGTAAATGTGGCCCACCTACCACAAATCTTACTTTAGAATCCTAACCACTTGTCGGACGCAAAAAATGCAATATATATTTTTTTCTTTGAAATATCACAAGGAGTTTTAAATGTAATTGTAGTAATTAAAAAATACAGTGAAGTACCATTTGTTTCCTTAACAATTTCGCTAACGTACATGTACGCACGCCACTGCAAAACTTATCAAAATTATTTTATCGCAAAACATGCGCCTTCTTCAGCTATTGATCCTAGAAAAGTTCGTTAAAATATCTCCATGCGAAGAAATTTATCATTTTGCATTTTTTAAGTCAAAGTTCAACACCCTTTTAAATCCGTAACGAAACACTTTTGCGATAGTATTTATAAGTATAACAAACAAGGGTTATTGTTGAACGTATGGTTAAAATAATACCCCTTCCTTATGAAATACCGTGTATATTTAATTTAATATTTCAGCTCCTACTTGATAAGCCAATATCAAATGTTCAAAAATTCTAATAAAAAATATTTAAAAAACACCAACTTGACTGGCGTGCTCCATGTTTAGAACTTCTATTACTTCGAGGTACGTACTGAGTTATTTTCTTGACGATATACGACTAAAATAACTGAGCCTTCTTACCGTTAGTGGTGACATTGCCGGTATTTCCCCAAAATCTCGTTAGTTTGGACCGCAATTTTGGGCTTTGAGGATAACTTCCTCCATGAGAGTTTCCGTCGGTCTGATCTTCTGAGTCCACTTTTCCTCGAAGATATTCGGATGGTCCCGGGCTTCTTTGATCTGTTCCACCTAGGACAGCCGGTCTGTAATCTTGAAGCATCTCGAAGAATTCATTCTTGCCTACGAAAGAGAAACAACAACGATGACTCATGTTATAATATCTTACTTCAGCAATGTGTTCACCTCGTATCAATTAACTGAATTTTATAAGTTTTTGTTAGACATGCTTTGTAGAATATTTTCAAATAAAAGCTTAACTTAAACCAAACACGATTGACCTATTTCCTGTACAACCCTCAAAGAAAAAATTACTTGTGAAAACTATTGAAAATTATTATTCAGCAGTGTTTTTCACAGTGCGTCATGCATGGTGACTAAATACCATGACCATTCTGGTTTTCGGCACAGATCATTTTCTAATTTAACAACTCTGACCTTACGATTTTTTAATTTAATTTAATAAATTTGAATTATGAAAATATTTAGGCTAATAAATATTAATAGCTTTTTCAACTGATATGTATTTTACCCAGATGGTTTACTTTTAATGACATAAATGACATTAATGACAAACATTAATGACAAAAAATGCTACTTCAAGAAATTATAGTAAATACCTTGCACTCCAGGAGGTCGATCAATAACATCAATAGATCCGTGACTGCCGTATTCCCTTTTAAGTGTAGGGCTGCTGGTTTTAAAGGGTTTTCCGTTCTGATCTAATAGTTCAAGACTGGAATTACTCCTGCACAGAGATTCTGTTTGATTTGATTTCCGACCAGTTGAATGATGATGTCTATCGTTAAATGATGATCTCGATGCCGAAAGTCCTGCGTTGGCCCAAGCCCTGAAGCAACAATTGATTTGTAGCAATCGCGATTGAAATATCATACAGGATTATTTAAATACACGAGATGTAAATAGTGTTAGCTTCTTGGTATGGCCATTGTATTGATTTGCCTCAAACTTTTTAAGGCAAACAAACATTCCATGCATTTTTTAACTACAGGCACATAAATTGGTACCACTCGATCAAATGAAAGGTTTACTAGTGATAACAAAAATGGAATTGTTGAAGTGGAAATCGATTAATATTTTTTATCAATTTACCTGTGCACATGGGTGTTATAATAATCGACAGCTTGAGCTGTTCTATCTCTAGTTCTATTCGTTGAAATTGGCGCCCTCGGCGGCGCTGGTCCGCACTCTTGCAAACCGATCATCCCATCACGCTGCAACAAAATTAATAATAAATACTCATATATAATTTCTAAAACGAGATAATAGTTACTAGTCAATAAATAAGTCACTGTATCAAATGCTAGGCTACCTATCAATTAAAACAAAAAAAGCTCTTATTCTGTCTAAATGAACAATAGTTTAGCAGCGACTAAACAACAAAACTCCAACTCATTGGCTGCAAACCATTATTGTTAGGAAAGAAGAGTATTTCAAAAATGTACTAATATTGTTGAACCGTTTGTTTTTTGTTACCACAGATTGACTCTTATTTCGCACAGTATGAAGGTGTTAACGTTCAAGAGAGTCTTCGTGAACGTTCAATGGTTTTTGATCCATTTTTATACAAAATGTTTTCATATCGTTGTAGACCACATGCCTTCTTATACCTATGATTTTTTTTTAATTTGTATTTTATATTATTATATTTCGTTCCTACGTTAAGATTAACATTTTATTAAGCAATTTGAAAAACGCCAATTTTACAACCTTACAGCAAAATATTACGCATCTATCAATAGTGACATCTCTAAACTCACTACTTCCAAGATATCTTAAACCAGAAAAATTTGTAAAATCGTAGTTTTTCTTGCGATCATTTCTTCTGGTTTAATTGCTAAACTAAACGATTACGCATTAGACCGCAGATTTGAAAGTTCTGCTTAAAAAGTTATTTTTGATTGAATACCATAAAGTACCGAAATATAAAAGAAAAACTTACTTCTATGCGGTTGATTATGTTAGCCGGGTCAAATATGAAACAAAAAGACTACGATAATCGTTTACAAGCTCAAGTACCTATAAAGCGAACGACAAATAGCAAGGGTAATTAAGAAAGGAAAGCGTAACTGTTTTTACGCAATAAGATGATAACATACCAGCATTTTATCTAAGTCCAGATATGTAAAGCAAAGAACAGTTAACCATAAATCTTTGCAGTTACAAGCTTGATAATATTATCTGAAGCGTCATAAACAGATCAGTGTTCCACACAATCCACACCTCCCAAAGTATGTTATTTAACTGATACAAATGTTATGTTGAATTTCACGTATAAAATAATTATGCATTTAACTACGATTTAACAGTATATTATTGCTTAGCAATTATAAACTTTTACAAACTTGACTAATTGTTATTATGATTACTTATTTTTCTTAGCTCAATTTATTTTTGATACTTAACATTAACGATGTTGTTAACATAAATTGAAAGTTCAATTCATAATCAATTAAATATTTTATTGGTTGAAATATATGCAATGCGGGTGGAAGTTCGTGTAAGTAGGGTAGTACGGGAAGTAATATGTGAGCGCCTCTTCACACGGGCCACTCTCCAGCGCTTCTACTTCAATCTTATTAGATTTTTTCCGGGCTCTAAATAGATGAAGGTAAAATATTATTGGAAGTTGTTTGGAAGGATCTCAGAATATGGAGACAATAGCTTGAGCGGGATTTCCGGCTGTGGAACATTGTTTAAATAATTAATATAATAATAATAACCTTAGAACCGTTGATGCTTAATAATGTGAACATTTCATAGTTTTTGTTACGTATTAAAGATACCTACAATATGAGATAAACTAAATTAAAATCCGTTCATTTGTTTACGCAAAAAAGGAAAACACTTCCTTGTTTTCTGTTTTTTATTTCCTGTTTTTTATTTTTCTATAATTAATTTAGTTTTGCTTCAAAAAATCTCGGTACTTACAACTTTTTTTGTATATGTTGTATACTTTATAAGTGGTGTAAACTTTAGCTTAAAATACTCATAACTTTTTGTTCATTCCTATTCGCCGAGTATTAGAAGGCCTTTCTCTGACATATATGGAACAATTTGAAGATTCGACTCAAGCTAGACTGGAATTTTAACATTTACGTTTAACGTTTTACCACTTTGCCCAAACAAGTTAAAAAAGTTCACCTCATTTAACGGTTTTCCAACAACGGAACTGAGTTACTGCGCCAGTGCGTTGGGTTGGCGCACCAAGCCATTTGCACAGCACTGCACCAACTCTTAAAAATTCGGTGAGTTACCCAGCCGTATTGGAGATTTAATTTCATAACGGTTCGAAATTTTGAAAAAAAAAATGTGCCTAAGAAATTGTTCATGTTTACCAAAATTAATCTACTTTGCCAGATTAACATTCTATTAGGGTAATTTAAATATCGCAAGCAAAACAATTCACAGCCATTATTAATTTTTGTTAGAATATGTGACTTTTCTAATGTCTACCAATTGTTAAGCTATGTATTTTAAATGATCAGACAGTTGATTAATTACAACAATTTGTTGCAATTACATTTGACTGATTACAATCAACTGATGATTCTTTTCTGACATCAAGAAACAAAAATGTCTTCAAAAAATATATTTTAAACGTTTATTTTCCCAAACGTTTATTTTTCTTGGGAATTGTGCATGGGTTTCTCGAAATACGTGTGGATTCACATAAGACCAATATCGTACATTCTGCCTATTCACAGTCCCGTTAAAAAAAGTTTATTCGTCAGTAGAGCAAATTCGTGTGTCATAATCTGGAAATTGACCATTTGTTTCGAACATGTGTTCACAAAGCTGCATCCTCCTGTCCGGATCATCTTATGTTACCTGGTGAACCAGATAAGTTTTGTATGGATGGAACTTATTTTTCTTAAGATATTTTTGTACAGTTGTTGCTGAGACTTGACATTCTCCAGCAGCGCTTTCTGATGACTGCTGCAAATTGGTGACCATAGTCACGACAATGTTAATTTGTGTGCCTTTGGGAATAGACTTCCTTCCCCTTTTTCGGTCAACACTGCCAGTATTCACAAACTTTTAGAGTAATTTTCTGTTATAATTTCGGCAAATGGGACTCTCAGGGAAACTTTGAACAATCGTATTGCTTGATGTAGAGTTTGACCGGTTTCTCCATATATCTTCACCGCTTCAGTTTTTTGTTTCAATGTGCGTCCATAAACCATTTTTTTATTAAAATTAACGATCTTTAGCTATACACTTGAAGAATACTTAATAAAAACTTAAACTTTCAGACGTGGATAACGATGATCGAAACTATCAAAAATTTATTACTCTAGAAACTTTGAAAACGAATAAAACCCAGCGAACTGGGTACGAAAACGAATAAAAATGGCCATGTGTACCTATACGTCAGACAAGATGAAGTAAATTTACAGGCGTGAAGGTGCACATCTAACTGATTTTAATGTTCTACTTTGAAATTTTACCCATTTAATAAAGTATAATCCCTAAAAGATAAGCTGCTTTCCTAAGTTGACAAATGGATAATGGTGTGTGTGTGTCACTCATTTTATAAGTTTAAAAATATCATTGGTGCCTGTGAGTGTGAGGCCTTGCTGTGTGTGATAATTACAATTAAGGTGGGCCGGTTTAGATACAAATGCAATTTTGTACAGATAATTTGTTTTTATTCGGCCCCCCTATTTACAATCTGTCCTGGGACACTAACTAAATTCCTAAATTGTAGGACTAAAAGTCCTACAATGAAGTGAACCCTACCAAGAAACATTTGAAAAAGTTTACCTATGGCGAGATGAATAGATTATTAAAGATAGAAAAAGAAAGAAGGCGTTTTCTTCTTCAGCATTTATATTTCTTCAGTTATTTGTCAGCAGATAAGTTGCTAGTATATTCGGATGAATTGATACTGTGTTTATGTATCTGGAGTGAATGTTCGATATTGTTCCAGTAACTGTTTTCGGTTGTAGGTCCTTCCGGAATAATTCATTTGGTACAAACCAGGGAGCATTTACCATTTATCTCGGCCATTTCGATTGAAATCAATAATCTCTCAATAATTTTGATGTTTGATTTAGAAGCGTTACCCCATAGTTCAGCTCCACACATCCAAATTGGTATGCAAGTGTGCATTTGTATAGTAACACCTTGCTTTTGACGGATTGTTTGGATCTTCTTCATAGTAACCAACACATTTTTTCTTAGCTTTAGGTTTAGTTCGACGATTCAGGTGAAGTCCAAGATATTTGCCATGAGAATTCTGAGGAATTTCTTTCTCAATTATTTCAATTCAATAATGTATTTATTTATTTATTTCCTACCATTGCTGAGCAGGTCTCCCATCTCAGAGTGGAATGTAAGAATTTACTCTCGTTTACCTGAATTCTCCAAATTTCAAATTGGTGATCAGGAATTAGCTTTTTCCCCGCATACCATTTTTTTCGTTATCAATTTCGGTACCGTAGAGGTACTCACGCCACTGGCAAAATTTAACAAAATTATTTTATTGCAAAACGTGCGCCTTCCCTAGCTATTGATCCCTGTAAAATTTCGTTAAAATATCTCCATGCGTTTTTAATAAATTTATAATTTTGTATTTTTTAATATACATTGCAACACCCTGTAAATCCGCAAAGAAGGATTTTTGGGCTATCGTTTGACACATAGAATACGTGGTTAAAATAATACCCCTCCCATGAAACACCTTGTATATTTATATTCAACTCGAATCTTTAAATAAATAAGGAAATATTTCGATAAACTCCAAGTTGTTGACGACAGACTTGCAAGATAGGTGCGATATTTGCGTTAGTGTTTTTATAAGCAGAACTTATGTAGAGGAAGCGAAATTAAATAAGAGCTTCCAGAGTGATTAATAACTTCAGGAGTACTCTTTGAATACTTGAAAGAATATTAAATCCAACTTGGATTTTGTTCTCAAATCATATCATATGAAATATAATATATTTAATATATATGTACTTAATATTCTTAAGACATCAGATAGGACATCCCATAGGATTTATTGGTGATGTTCAAAAAGCCCACTTCAATTTTATGTAGCTGGAGATAAGTTTTATTGTTTACGTCCCGGCGTATCCGGTGGTTGGCCTTCCGGTTTAGTTTCGGCGCGTTTCCAAATATAAAAGTACTTTTATCTGAGTTGCATTTTGATGCCAGTTCCGATGACATGCTAGGATCGTTGGCCAATTGATTATCCTGAATGAAGCTT